TAACAATGAAAGATATAGTGTAACAGCTCTGATCCCAAGATGCAATTGCAGACTGATGACCGCGAACAACTTCCGGTGATGCATATCACGGGCCACCGTAGGTTTAAGGTGACCTGCTTTTTTATTTTATTTTTAAAATACTTTTTGTGAAAATGAGACTGATAGGATGGTAAGGGAGCTGGGTGCACTAACACAAAAATATATAATATTAATAACACGAACACAGACACACAAATGTTTTTTGTTTTTGTTTTTTTCCATCTACACCCCTTGCAATCGACTTGGGACCAGTATGCGATCGACCGGTTGATCACGATCGACATATTGGGCACCCCTGCTCTAGACATATAAAGAGTACAGGAGAATGGTGTTCCCAGGCCTCTTCTGAGCTTCCTTGATCAGTTTTACTTTAATTTTTGCATCAATTTCGGACAGCTAGCCGCTTCACTGTCATGTGTCTGTGTTTCAATTTAGTTATTTTTTTTGTCAATTTCTCGATTACGGGTACTGTTTTCTCATGTTCCAATACATGCATTGTACCTTTCTCCTGGCTGCTACCTAAATAAAATTTTCGTAAGATTTTGCAGTAGTATTCAATTGAGTTATTTGGGATGAAGTTTTAAGTACCGTAATATCATTCGTTTCAGGCTATTATGCAGCTAATTACATCTATTATGATAGCTTATAACAAACATTCGTTGGTTCTTCCTTTGATAGGACAAACCAGTAGACAACAGTCTTCCTTGTCCAGAGGTTTTTATTTTTGATCATCCATGTGGTCTAATTAATTATTACGCCACACAAAATAATGAATGAAATCACGGCCCAGTTTCTTGAAAAAAATGACAGCTTGATTAACTGTTTTATTTATTGATCAACAGTGCATTACAACTGTATGGCTCCAAAAGATAACATCTACAACCCTGCATTCACAAAACATATTTTTAGTACACTGAACAGCACGCAAATATAATACACCCATCCACACCCTGATAATATACAGGCGTGTGCAAACACCGATTATAGTACAGCGCTATTATAAATCACAGGAGATGCTGTGACTGAATGATCAGTAACACAAACAGTATTGAAGATAAACACGAAGACCAGAGCTCTTACTGATCTCAGTGCATCCTTCGTAGTTTGACAGTTAACAAGAAATAACACATACCAAGGTAGAATTACTAATTGAGAAGGTAAAACACATCCAGAGAGCATGATTAATCATATTGGATTTTTTTTTTTAAAACACTGTGAAATAAAACAGTCCAAAAATGAAAACTGCCCATTAGTGGATATTACCATCAAAAAGACCATCTGAGATGAATGATGAGGGGGCGAGAGCCTCACAGATTAAGAAGATCGCACAGCGTCTGGCTCTCATGAGGTCAGAGATCATTCATACCCCCCCCGTGTGGCTTGAATAGTGGATTGAATGACATCTGTGAGATTGTTCTGGCACTGTTTTTGTTCAGAATGCACAGTTGAGACTTCTGCCACATACAAAACATTTTACAAATATATATCTAAATTGGTGTGTACCGGGAACTCAACATGAACTCTGTATGGCAATATGTGATAATACAAATGACACAATCATGTGCCTGTGAGCTGTATGTTTTTTTGTTTTTTTTGTTTTTTAAAGCACATCTGTGCTTACTACATTGCTGTTGGAAGATGAACTGTAAGTTTTCTTAAACTTTATCCTCCTTCTGTTGTGTATTTTCCATTTCATCTCAGCATAATGTCATATACTCGAAGTACCAGAGGAGCAGGGAAATGTAAAAAGCCTCAGAGGGTTGACTTACCTTTATAAGGTTTCATGTTACGAGGTAGCTTTTGAGTGTTTCTGTTTCTTGGTCAAACAACCTGTTCTATATTAGCCACATCTGCAAATGTCAGGATTAGTCATCAAGCTTCCGAAATTCCAGCAAAGCAAGCAACATAAGTTTAAGATGTTTTAAAAATATTTTGTGTCAATGAATGATGCACTTGGCTGGGTTTAGACTAAAGATTGATGGTATCTCACCTTGTAATTTACAAACTCAATTCCAATGACGTTGGGAGGTTACGGTACATTAAATTACGTTCAACCTATATTTACTGTATTTTCCACACTATAAGGCGCACCTAAATGTATTCAATTTTCTCAATATCTGACAGTGGTCCTCCTAATCCGATACGCCTTATATATGGATGAATATTCTGATTTCTTGGATGTAGTACCGTATTGGCCCGAATATAAGACGGTGTTTTTTGCATTGAAATAAGACTGAAAAAGTGCGGGTCGTCTTATATGCGGGGTCTAGACATTATACCCATTCACGGCGCTAGATGGCGCCAGATATCATTAACCCCGTGCAATGCAGGAACACTTCATGTACACCTGACATGCGTTGTGTTGTAAAAACGAATGGATGCCACAGGTTTAAAACCCATGCATGGCATGCATTTGTTTTTGCAACACAACGCATGTCAGGTGTACATGAAGTGTACCTGCATTGCACAGGGGTTAAAGTGAATGCAGAACTTGACTCCCCAGGCCAAAGTGAACCCCTGTCACGAAGAATAAAAATAAAAATAGCGGTAGCATGAAGAAGAAAAATAAAAAATAGCGGTAAGAAAGAAAAGAGAAGAAAATAACAGAAGAGATTCCAGAAAATGGAGAAACGTAGGGACAATCTGGAGAAAAGTGGGTCGAAGATCGGCCAGGTTAACCGGCAGCTGAGGAGAAGTTACGATGTAATTTACATTTCAAAAACCAGAAGCCATTCATTTACGAATGTGATTGCACTTTAGTTTACATATTTAAATGTTCAGATATTAAGATTTGAATGAGGCAAAATAACATGCTTTTTCTCTCAAATATATTGTGATAATCATTTGTTTCAGATGTACTGTAATTATTTTCTGTATAAAAATTGATTTGGTGTTCAAAAAGTATTTTTTTCAAACTTGAGTCTTGACAAAGAGGGGGTCGTCTGATAATCAGGGCCGTCTTATATTCGGGCCAATACGGTATTTTAAATGTTCTGTAAAGCGCTTTGTTATAGCTGCAGTGGTTGTGTAAGCTCGACATAAATAAAGCTGTATTGTATTGCATGATTTCCCTTGAACGTAGCTCCATCTAGTGTCTGTATAACGCAACCTTAGCCACTATTGTAGAATCTATTCTATGTGCCTTATAATGCCGTGCGCCCTATATATAAAAACAGTTCTAAAATAGGTAATTCATTGAAGGTGCGACTTATATTCCAAAATGCCTTATCGTGCAGAAAATACGGTCATTTGATACATTACAAAGACATTTAATGTTAAAACTGATAAACTTATGGTGTGTAGCAAATAATCATGAATTTTATGGCTGCAAGACATTCACAAAAGCCCCAAAATGAAGAAAATGTGCTAATTTCATCTTGTACTCCATTTTTTTTAAAATACGTTTTCCTCGTTTTGTGGTATTTAGGTAGAATGGTGAATTCTGAAATTCTTAAAACTATGTTATTAATATCCTGTACCTCGACAACCAAGAACAACCAATTTAAGATCACGTTGAGCGTGAACAAAACTCACCCTCCATTTTCCTGAGATATTTAATTACATCTGTAGTAGCAAAAATCTTGCAGTGGTTAATTTTCACGAACACATTGATGTGAGCTCATTGAAATCAAATATTTAGAAGTACAGGTTTTTCCATGTTCGTAAGCTTATTGGCACCTTATCTCAGTTTTTGAAAACCAATACATTTTCCCTAGAGATGACGAACCGCTGACACACTTTTAGTTTATAACAGCAAATTTTTGACCACCTTTTTTAATATTATTTTGATTATTTTATTATTATGATTTAATATTTTAACATTCTCCGGATGCAAGGCAACACATGCAGCTATTCTCACACCGGCGGAAAATGGAGTGATTTTAATATTTGCCAAATATTATCAAGGTCATAAAGAAATGCTGTGAAGAACAGTGGTGCTTGATAAAACGCAGATTTCAGCCACGCACAAACAAAACCCAGTCAAAATAACAATTTAACACTTGGTTCACAGAAAATGGAAGAAACTAAAGTTGGGCTCAGTTTTGCAGCTGTCACGGCGATTTGACAGGGTTGACGTCAGGGCTCCAAATTTCTTACACAACATAACTCATCTAATGATGTCAGTACGGATCTTGCTTTGTGCATTTCGGTACAGTCAGGGGACTAGGAAAAAACGCGCCTTCCCCGCACTCTTGGAAGATTAAATCACACAATTTGTATGATTTAAAGGGGTAGGCTTTTGCTATTGTTTCAGGTATGCCTGTCAGTAGTTGCCCAA